AGTTTACAATAATAATAATAGTTTATAATATTAACTTGGCATTGGTCATTTGCAATAAAAAAACAATTGAAAAGATCAAATTCTCTTTAAGCTTATGTATTAAAATGATATATAACAGGAAGGGCTTTACTAATTTTGGTGTTATTTAAGTGTCCGGTTTTTTTTGGATTTACAGTAATACAGTAATATATTTGCAGTAAGTAAATAACTTAAGCCTTTGCCATATCAATATCATGATGCGTGATATTTTATCACATCTTACTCGAATTGAACCTGTTCTTCATGTTGACTATCACGTCGACATAACAGAACATCATAATAGATCTAGATAGAAAAACTCGATAAAACTCGTAATCTCCGATCTTATTCGACCCGTGCCGATGAGATGAGTAGCACAGGCCTAAGTGGATCCCTTGGGATCGCCGGTATAACCTAACCTAACCTAAGTGTTCGTTTTTATGGCATATATTCAAATTATTTCAGTTAATTGTGGTCTTTATGTGAGCTGTATGCTTCATTTCGAGTAAATGCTGTAGAACACAATCCAAATGCAGATTTATATTATTTGCACATATACATGTATGGTTTATTTTTCAAAGTCTATACTGGAATCGCACAGACAGCAGTAGGTCACCTATTGTTAATTACATGTTTTTAGCACTTACCTCATGAGTAGTCTTTATTTAAGTGCCTTTAACATATTATTGTGCCTACAATTATTAAGCAGATCGCATACTGCAATGGCACACCCAGAGAATTTAGCATGTTATGAGAAATTATTTATGGTTTTACCTAGGTGAAATTTATGTTGTTAGGATCTTAATTTAACTAATTACTATGGCCAAATTTAAATATGTTTGCAATAATAGTTCTTCTTCGAAAACTTGCACGTATTGTAACGATGATGAGTATAAGAACTGAACATTTTATAAATCAGTAGTGAATGCAACAATGAGTGTTTATCTTTATGTTATAAAAAAAAGTAATATGTGCCGGTGTATTTTTATTTTACGACGTCATTATACTTGCATTGCAGTGCACTGTTATTTTTTAATATTGTAATAGCACTACGTTATCATAATGTTACAAATAGTTATAGAGTACATACTATATAGGTAGCGAAGTTGGTTACTATGAACTTGTTAAGCACGACAACTATTAGGGAAATTCAGTATATGTAGCGCGTTTCGCTGATGTCCTTTCTCGTATAAACTAAACAACCTAGAAAACCCTAAAAAGGGAATATGACAATAGCTGAACTCATTAGTTTCCTTTTTAGTAGCTTTTTTTATATTATAATTCTTTCGATAACCACTACCAACTGAAATTTTTTTGTGAATACATACACTATTTATAATTAAAATCCAACTCTAAAAGATTTGAATGAAAAGGTGAATAAGCTTGTTTATATGAGACAAATTTAACTGTAACTGTAGTTTTGGTAAATGCGATTTTAGTTTGTATTTATTTATATATATTCAAGTATACCTATATTCAAGCAAGAGCAAATGCATAGAAAGAACAAAGAGCAATGTATCTTGAGTTACCTTAAACCATATCCGCCCAAGGATTTTTTTTTTTTGGAATTATTGGTCAAAATGTTTTTTAAAGCTTACAGTAAGGAGTGGGAGGGGGGTGTGGAGTGAAGTCACAAATATTTTTGTGAAGCTAAAGCTTCATACATTCAAAGTAATGATATATATAAACTCTAAAGTTTTTCTAATATAAACAAAAAATCCATGAAAAGTGATAAAATTTGCTGTTCGATTAATCGAAAGTTGGGCGGATATGGGTTTAATTGCAGTGTTAAAAACAAAAGGTAATAAAATTAAATATGTGAAAGGAAAATTTTTATCTCAGTTAATGTTAGGGATATTTTGCGTGATTCGACGACAATAACAACATCGCGATATATAAAGATATGGATATATAATGTTTTCCTCAGTCAGCATTTATAAAAATTTTGCGGAAATTTAAGATGAGATTATTTAGAATTGTTTTTTGTACAATACTGAGGCAACGTTTACGTTAACTTCTGACAATCCTGAGACATTAGTATTCTAGAAATATCAATGAATATTTTTCTCATTCAGCATAAATGTATGAATATCTTTTTTTAAATGTATGACAAGACCAAAAAGAGATGCGATTTTTGATACTTTTTACGTCATTATGACAAATAGTAACAGTTATTTTAATGAACAATGGGTGGTAAGATTAATCTTTTTGATTATTTATTTATTTCACAATAAATTAAATATTTTTACAAAAGTGTTTCTTTAGCTGCATGAGAACTATCGATATCGGTAACTATGGTTTGAAAGTTGTGTCAGCTATGTTATGGTTGGAATTTCCAACGTTATCAAATTGTGGAAATTTACTTTGAAAAAATAAATGTGTTCGCGAAATTCATAGAGCGCTTCGTACAGTGGTGAAGTGATGAAGCTTATTTCTGGTTAAATGTCTGCAGTTTACACGCTGGTGGTATCATCCGTCCTTATTTCTTTCGAAATAAGAAAGTAGCTGTCGCTACGGTGAATGGCGAGCGCTATCCTAACCGAGTTATGCTGACTGAATATTTGTCAGCAATTTCCCAAAACGATATTTAAATATTTGCTTCCAATAAGACGACAGAACTTGCCATATAGCGCACTTAACAATCGATTTATTGCGAAATTAATTTGGTAACAACTTTATTTCCAGAAGTAGTTCTGTTAACTGACCGATTTGTTCGTGCGATTTAACGCCGCTCTCGATAACTTGTTATAGGGATGGGTCTATTTTAAGTCATAGGTTTATATGCCGACAACCGATAAACCAGCAACTCTTGAAGCATTGAAAGCCAATGTTCATACCACCCTTGATGTCATACGTTCACATTTATTGCAAAAAAAAATAGGCAAAAATCGGGCTGATCGAATGAACCATTCGAGGGACATATACCGTTAATCATATTCAAAAATAAATGCCATGACATTATGTATCAGATTATAATAAAAAAAATTATATTTCAACAATACTTCTGTCTTGTATTATCATTTCAAGTTCTCATACAGCTACAAAAAAAATACCCTATATAAATTAACTTTTATGTGCTAGATTCTATCCGAAAGGAGTTTGTAACCAAAAGATCAGATAACACAAAAAGTATATGCAAGAACTGCTAAAAATTAAGTTTTAAGTGTAAACCATTTCATCTAAAAAAGTTATTAAATGATCATATTATTATCAAGTAAAGGATTTGGAAAACGGGACTGGCCGAGTGGAGTGCGAAAGAGCAACAAAATAAAAAATTAAAATTTCCATCATTAGGTATATTCCAACTGTTTCAAAATATTACCGTTCATTCTATAATAGGACCATAAGATATAGTCCATTTTTAATGAAAGAATTAAGGCAGCCGTTGAAACAAATTGTAAGGCAAATTGTAAAACTAAAAGTGATCAGCAAACTATCAGTTTGTGAACATGGCAAACACTTCAAATCGCAAAGATATTTTACTTAGCGTACCAAGGTTTTCTCAGTAGTGCTACCTACTACACCATACTGAAATAATTGTAACAAATTAATTGCGAATAGCAAATAAATTAATGGATTTTGGTTCACTGTATGCTTGCAGCTCAAGCCGATTTTAATACCCCAAAATGGCAGAAAAAAGTTGTTTTGCTCTTCGCTATTGTTGTATCTACGATAGCAAGTAGTAGATACAAGTACTTGTTTTTTTCAGTTTGTCAAGATCAAGTTAAGAAATCAATTTTAAATAATTAAATGAATGCGGTCGAAATTGGCTCGATTTTAAATTTGTCATTTTAGGTTGTAAAGTGTTCACACTATGAATCAGGCAGTTTTGTCTGACGTTTATTTTGTAAGAGAAGTTGACTGCGATTCGCTTGAAATTGCGTTAATGGAAAGCGAGTTTATTCCAAACGCTTGTGGGAACACACCTATTGTTAGTGAGTGTGTCGAGCGTATAAAATTAATAAAAATGTTAAATAAATAAATGAACAATCAGATGCAAGAAATGACTTTTGTTTATAGAAAACATGTTTGTAGTACTCGTTAACATATTTGTAATAATAGTAGTAAGACCACAGTTTATCAATAGATATAGCATCTCTTTTAAATTAATGTAATAATAATTACTTTTCTATATTTTTCTTAAAAAAGAATATCAGACGAAAACTTAAAATTCTGTTTCAGAGCAAAAAAAACTGTTAACCCGAACTATCTATTTATCACCAGATTATGTATAGATGCCCAACGTCATACCAAATTAATATCCACTAAAGTTTTCAAAATTGACCGAGCGATCGCCGTTCAATCTACAACAGCTCAGCGTCATTCTCACTTATGCTATAAGTTAAAGAACACATACAGATGATATGTATGTAAATAATCTCTCCCACTCAATCTCAATCTCTCCCACGTAAGAACACTATTCTGTATAAACGTAAATATAATAAATTGAGTCTGTTTTAAACCGTAGAACAAGAACGGTGTTTTATGTTGCATATATATATATAACAATAAGAAGAGAATAGAAACGTAAAAACAAGTTCCCTCTCTTCCACACAAGAGAAATAGAGAGAGAGAGATAGAGAGTGCATATGTATTCAGAGAGTAAATCACAAAAGTTGAACTTTTCGAATAAATTATGATGCGTTAAAAACTGTTTTATATAAAACTGTTCGAAAGAACTTTCAAAATCGTGGTTAGCATTGGACATGAACTTTATATACAAAAAAAAGATAGTATTGCAGTGCAAATTATGGCATGGTACTCGAATCTGAAGAAAACGAAGCCAAGTACTATCTATACTCTTTGTACAATATGTAGCGTTTACTGGTTATAAACAAATTTAACTTTTTTATAGCGAGATAGAATCTTTATAAAAATAGTTTATTATACAAAACAATCAAAACAATAGACTATTGCAAAAAACGTAATTAATAGAAATACATAGGAATAATAATAATTTTTTTATAAAATATGAAACTTACCCATCATATACACGACAAGTTGTATTATTAATACGTTTATCGGATGATCTACGTCGCCTGTCTTCAAACAGATCTTTAACTGCTGTTACGCCAAGTACAAATAACACTGGTATCATCGCTACTTCTTTTCCAAATGCATTTATCGCAGGAAACCAATTTAATAGAACAATAAAAATGAAATATAAATTCGCTACACGGTGAAATTGCTCGAGTAAATTTTTTGGTATAAACGAAAGCAATGTATATTTGGTTGTACGTATTTTATTAGCCACAAAATGTCCGTTGGGATGATCACGCTTAGGTGTTTTAGGTGGCACAGTATGATTTGGCACAACAATACGATAATTTCGTTCATCTGAGTTTTCCGTACGACATATGCCAATACGCTTCCACCATGGTGGCGCTTCCGATCGCCGGAGTGTGTAAATTGATTCGGAACGTGATGCTTGTCGCGAATGGCCACGTGCGTTCGATGATGATGATATTGAAGGTCCAAAATCACGCGCCAATGTCTCATCTTTATGACCCGGTGGTAAAATAAAGTCAGTTTTTGAACCAACGCGGCTATGACCACGTGATGCTGCTGCTGAATTTGGTGAATCAGTTATTTGCCCTTGAGAAAATGCCCGTTGGTGTCCTTTCATTGCTGATTTAATTGGTCGACCATTTGTTCCTAAAATAACACCACCACCATGACTAACTGATCGCGCATGACCCCGTCCAGTCATTAAAGTGTTCGTTACTGGTGTTACTATTGCAACACCTGGTATACCTGGCATCGTACTACCGATAACGTTTCCACCAACAACACCTACAGCATTTGAACCTGGAAATACATAGGTTCGTTCGGGTTCCTGTAATGGTAGTGATTGAACTGCTGCTACCGATGTACCCACTGTACTTCTTAATGGCATTGCAGCAGCATGTAGCGGATCGTAAGTTGTATGTCTTGTTCTGTTTGCTGCAAAGCCGGTAACTGTTAATGTGGGTGGTGCCGATCTCTGTTGTTGTACGACGGCAAACTTTCGCCGCAGATCGTCGGAATTCGCAGACGGCATTGTTACAAACAACCAACATTAGTTTAATCCTATGCTACAGTAATGCTGGTAGGTAACTACTACTGTATTGACATTAAATACATATGCTATACTGATATTGGCAGAGTGATGCCTGTAAAAAAAAAAATAATTTTAAATTTAATTTTATTTTTTACATCAAAAAAAAATTTTTTTTAAATAAAAAGTAGTTTCAGTTTATATATAAATTGAAATAGTTATCCGACTAATATCAATCACATATAGATACTGAGAAAACAATATCTCTTAAACAATATCTATTGCCTTGAAGAAGGCAACTTTTACGATCGTTGTTGTTTACACTATCTTTTGAATTTATACTACCTGTCTACATTCAAAAATGTAAAGCAAACGCAATGCAACCGAGAGAGGCAATTTAAATTGTTTTGGATTGAAAACAGTTCAAATGTTTTGGAGAAAAGTGTGGAAGAACTTTTAACAAAAATTTAAAAAAATAATTGCAAAAATTTTTAGATATTTTCACTACTTCAATTTCGCTTTAATCACACCATGAAACATTGAATGAACTTTTTTAATATGCATAAACGGCACAGAATCACTTCATCTGATAGTTTCTAAAGTGAGAACTTTTACCATTACATCACCAGACTGGTCTTATAGAGTGACTGGTCTTTTATATTATATTAACGCTAATTTAAAACATTGTTGGAACAAAAATTAAGAAAATTATAGTCAATATTCGGTGAGCTCATATAAAGATTAGACTGTATAAATATTTTGCGGATGGATTCAGTGATTTAGGGATCCATTTGGTCCAAAAAAGAAACTAATAAATTTATATATGTGTGGCGTTAGCAATGCTGTGAACTGAAAAGCAGTAGAAAGAAAGACGTCGACGGAGCAAGTCGATCATATTTGATTCTTTTATAAATCATTAATTAATTTTTAATTAAATTAATCCTACATATGTATGGTATATGTATAGATTATAATAATGGACAGTGTTAATTTTTGCACTACCAGAACCCTAAGTGAATACAAAAGTTCATCAGTGTCTAAAGTTAATTTTATTTTAACTTATGCTCTATTACAAGAAAAATAATTTTATCTTCTCCAGAAGAAAATTGTGAAATATGACCATGCGCTTGAATACTAAAAATTTTAAGGATTATGCTCCAGGTACAAATGTTAAAAAAATTGAAAGAGATGATTGTGGAAAATTTATGCTGGAAAATATTATGGAGAAGTAAGAGTATAGTTTTTAGGTTGAAAACATCGGAAAATAAGTATTTCTTCTCATTGCTTATGATATATTATACACAATATTACTATAATATATGCTAACAGTCCAGTACAGATGATTGCATGTCCAAATGGATTTATTTTTAAATATTTTTTTTGTTTGATGTCTTCATTGAGTAGACTATTGGAGTCATATTGAATCATACGCATTGTCTTTTTTAGTTTTTAATTCTAACGTACTCCAATAAAAACATTCTTAAATTCTCAAAAGTTAATTTAAGGTTGGGAACAGGTTTCATTACGGGACATTATGGTCTGAAATATTACCTTCTGTGATTATCTGCTAATTTGGAATGCAGATTATTTCTCGAAGATAAGGGAATGTATATTCTTTGTGACTGTCCAGCTTTAACAGAGAACAGAAGTAAGTTATTTCATATGGAATTTCTGTCTCCAGAACAGATTAAGAGCTCTTCTCTAGATTTAGTTCTGGACTTTGTTCACAAAGCTATAAAGTGGTTTGTGTAATCAATAGCATAATTAAAAAAATAGAAATCTTCTGACCGCAGTACCGACTGTTTCACGTCAAAAATTTTGATAATAAACAATAATAATTCTAACGTATCTTAAACGTGAATGAAATAAAAAATCTTCTTTTACTCAAAAATTGCGTGAAAACGAACCTCGAGACTGGTCCATAATTTGTTTTAAATTGTTAACTCTACTTGAACTTAAACGTTAAATAGCTGAGTAATATTACTTGTAAAAAGGTGATATGCGCTGTCTTTCAAAAAATCAAACTAATCAATAACAATATTCTAAATATAAATCTATTTTAAAAGCTCTAAAATAGAAGTGCTTATTGTAATGACATGAAGAAATTAAAATTAAATCATATACCATAGTAGAATCAAAATTTTTATAATTCGCAGAATTGACCTATATTATTAAAGTTGTTATGGTACGATTTTCCTTATAATTATTTCACATTATCGGTAATATTTTACCAAACAATATATACAATAAAATTAAATAAAAATAAAATTTTTCGCAAGTGCTTTAAGAAAAATATATTGTTTATATTACTTCTATGAGTATAAATATATAGATACTTATCTTACAACTTTGGTGATTGTAAATTATGAGTTTAAAAACAATATAAAATTATCAATGGAAATGTTGCTGTAAAAATTATCTTATCAATATATGATAAGCATTCAATACAGGAGAATAAAACAGACAAAATAAGACCATGTCAGTGACGTGGTGAGTATAAGTGACACCCAGCGGAGAATTCCATATGGCTTTGCATATGGTTTACTAACCATGAAACTTACCGTTTTAGAGATTTAGTGAACCGTTTTCATCACTTTTATCGATATACTAAATAATCAATAGAATCAATGTGTTATGTGTAGATATACAGTTTTCCTAGAAATTTTTACTAAACTTTGTTTATCGCATATCAAGATCTTATTCTCTTGTAAATATTTTTAAATATAACATTTTTCTATCACCAGCCACTTTCAGGCAATTATCCTTTGAAGCGTGCTACCTACTATTATCTTCATAAAAAATGCACATACTTGTTCCTAAATATTCATATACTATATAATATTTATAATGCAGTTGCAAGTCATTTTAAAATTTAATAACTTTTTATTTTAGATTAGTTGTGAAACTACTATAAAATTACAGAAACATTTAATAACTTCTTGTTTATTAGAGATAGTGCTATATAGCATAATAAACAACTAAATTCAAAGTTGTAAAAGAATTTTAAATACGGGTAATAAAATCTACATAATATTAAATTAGTTGCAAATAGGTATTGATAGGTTCGATAAGTATATTAGGATTACTGTATCTGGAACAGCAGACAGATAAAAGTAGCCCCGAGTCACTCTCCTAACGAGTCATTTCGTCATTTACTTGTTTTCGATTTGTTCCAGATTTTTTACATACTGGCTTTTGGGTTTTTAGTAAAAATATATTCGTTTATTATAAGACAAATACCAACTATTTCTGTCTATCATACTGTTTGGTGTCAGGTGTCATCTAACGTTTTCATACGAAAGTTTGACATTATTAAACATAACCTAACATACTTCAGACTTTTTGTCAAAAGAACGTTACTTGTGTTATTTAGAGTGATTTATAAATTGATTGTTCGCGAGAAATTGGAATTAACGCGAGAAAAATTTCGTGCGATACTTATCACGACTTTCGACGTGGACATGGATTAACAAGACAAGAGTGCATCGATCAACTTACGAGTATTTCCACATTTGGCGACGAAGATCCATCCTTTGGTACAATCATTTTAATCGTGGCCGCACTTTGCTCACTGACAAAATTCGTAAAGGTCACACAGATCAGTTCTATTCATCAATATATCACTAAAACATTGCTCCTAAATCAAGATTACTAAATTTTTAACAGTTTATATATAATAAACTTAATGGAATTTGTTCTTAGACTAAAAGAGTAAATAATTTCTTTTAAAATACGCAATATTAAATCAATATTTTGACAATTTTGATATCTGATGTATTTGTTATGTGTGGTCAGCACCAAAGTTAAGCAAACTATCACAAAAATATTCATGATAGATTCAATCAGTTATTAATAATTGTTTTATGGTTCATACGAAACGTTTTCTTATCGACGAAGAAAAAACGTTATCTTAACAATTCATTGCAATGAAGGAATTTCCATGTTTACACAAAAAATTTGTGGCCCGAATCGGTTACAAATAACTATTTATTTAGTATTTTAAAGAAGTTTAATCTTTAATGTGTGAGTTTAAAAACTTAAAAAAAAATGTGTTACTAATGAAACAATTATAATAAACATGACTGATCAATGAAAGAAGAGAACGACATAAGACCACCTTTTATTTCTTCAAGGCATTTCGAAACAACTTTATACTTGACTTTTATTATTTATCATTTATAAAATATATATATATTACAGAAACAGAAGTTAATACAATTTAAAATGTTGCAATACAAATGCAAAATAAGCAGATAATAATTAAAATACAGTACAATTGTATAAACATGGAGGTACTAAAATGGGTGTCTAAATAAATATATTTTTCATAACCACAAATAAAAACAATTAAACAACAACATCACCACATATTTGTAGTATTGCTCGTACTTTTTAAATGGTTTCTACGAAGTTATTGATAAGCAGATAGTACCGATTACCACATCATCCATTTTAGTTACGAGCTGGAATATTGAACTCATAAATGAAGTCTAATAGTTAATTTGATAGGCGACAAAGTTTATATATTTTTACGAATTACTACTATTAGTAAAAATATTGAGAAAATGATTCAGAAAATCTGACTATATTAGTAGATAGCAGCTTCGAACTCGGCAATCAAGTACAAAGTAGTTATGTATTTATTTATGTATTTACTTATGTATTTATTTATGTATATATTTATTAATTATTTATACTAAAATATACAAAATTGCAATTAAAACACGAACTAAAAGTTACAATTATTTTTAATTATCAATATAGTTTTAGTAGTTAAATATTAACTATCACAAGCAGTCTTGGCTCGAGAATAGCAACCATATGTTTTTATAATAGCTGTAGTTCTTCATTTTAATAATAATGGTTTGGAAACCTAAAACGTATTGCGGACTTGAAAAATATTTATTATCTCTTGCAGGAATCAGTACCAATATTTTTATCAAACATTAAGATCGTTAAAGGCGAAAATATAATATCACACGATGTTAATAGTGTGGAACGGCCATTGAGAAGGCCTGGTCTAAATTATAGCTATTTTCATCATTACCAAAATTTGTAAAACAATTTGTTTTGACAATTAGTTTTCGATTCTATTTTAAATATTGTTTTATTGAT